TGTGTGTGTGTGTGTGTGTGTGTGTGTGTGTTGGGCAGGAATATGCACTTACCAGAACCATTCGCTCCCGAAGCTGGGCACGGAGAACACTCCCCAGTGGATGAAGATGCCGAACTTGGCCTGGTCGAACCAGGAGGGCAGCGGCCGGCTGTCCAGAGACTCCCACGTAGGGTCGTAGGGCGGGGGGTCCGCGGCCCCGCATCCTGGCAGGAGCGACAGCAGGTGCCATAGCAGCAGGAGCGCCAAGCGCATGCGCACCAGCCTCGGGACCTCTGGGAGCAGCATGTCACCAGGACAGCCCCAGACCTTTTTTGCCAGCTCCAGCCGCTGGCCTGGCGCCCGCCGGCCTTCCGCCTTCTGCAAAGTGCGCTCCGCCGCTGTCACCTGACCAACAACAGATTGGTCAGATGACTGGCCGCTGAGGGAGTTGGGCGTGGCTGGGCGTGGTGAGCCCAGATCGCCTAAGGACCCCAAGAGGGTCGGTCCCTCAGGTGCACAAGCGAGGAAGTCGGTTACTCCCCAGCCACGGCACTTTACCAACCCCGGGTTCTGTTTCCCAGCCGGACCTGATCGGCTTAGCCACGACTCCGGGTTTGTCTGCTGGGAGACAAAAACCCGAGGCTGATCTTGGACCACCGTCTCTGACCTCCCTCCCGAGGGACTCTTTCAGAGGCCTCTCAAGAGGCCATCGCGACCACCCGGTCCTGGTGGCTGCGTGTGTCAGAGCTGTGTGCCCCACCGTGCAATTAGAGCCTGAGACAGCAACCCCGTGGGCTGGCCCTCCCGGTCCAGAACTTTTGAAGCAACCTCCACGGCTCTCAGCCCCTGGATCTGTCTCTGCCAGTCTCGAATTTGCAGATGAAATCCCGAGTTTTGGGATTTCAGTCCGTCTGGATTGGGGTCCAAGAACTGGCATTTCTACTCAGGCTCTAGGTGTTTCTGACGTTGCTGGTTGGAGGGACAAACTTTTCTGAGGAACTGCATTAGGAACACAAGGCCATCTGAGTAGAATGGATGTTTAAGGCATTTGCATATAAGGAGGGGCTGAGGACCTGCTGGGTTGGCTGAGTGCTTGCCTAGCACTCAGGAAGCCCTGGGTTCCGCCCCTGCAGCTAATGAAACTGGAGTGGTAGTGACCATGGCTGAATGGGAAGAGGAGACAGGAGGATCAGGGTTCAAGGTCGTCTTTGACTACATAGAGAGCTACCTGAGACCCTGTCTCAAAAATGAGGAAGGAAAGAGAGGGAAGAAGGAAGGTAGGAAGGAAAGAAGGAAGGAAGGAAGGAAGGAAGCAAGCAAGCAAGCATAAATGTCCTAGGTGGTGTGTGTGTGTGTGTGTGTGTGTGTGTGTGTGTGTGTGTGTGTGTGTGTGTGTGTGTGTGTGTGT